TAATATGTATCAAGCACTGTTCAAAGGTGTTAGGTATACAGTGGTAAACAGAGTAGACAAGGGCCCTGCTCCATGAAGGATACATTCTAGTAGATAAGACAAATAATAACCAAGCAAATAAATAATTTCAGGTAGTAATAGGTACCACAAATAAAATTGGATAATATAAAACAGAAAGTTGGGGAGGGAGGAAGAGTGCTAGATAATGTGGTCAGGGAATGCCTGCCTGATTGAAGAGGAGACAGTCCTGTGTAGGTCTGGAGAATAACATTCCAGGCAGAAGAAATATGCAAAAGGTCTTCTGGTGGAAACTGGTTTGCCAGTTTTAAGAAAGACGAAGTAAGACGGCCAGTGTTGACTGGAGACTAGTCATCAAAGGAGGGTGTGGTAAGAGGCATATATATACATAAATATACAAACACAGACTTATTATAAACAGAGACATACACAGAAATCAGGGTACCTCTGAATTTATATAAGGTTATTAAAAAGAGAAATATTAAACTTTATAATGAAAGCTTAGGATTTGGGTGAACTTTTGGGGATGGTTTCCTCACAGTATAATGGTGTAAACTAGCATCAGAACAGCAGGGTTTACTGTTCCAGAGATATCTCTGTTCCAGAGATATCTTTTCACTCTCTCATTGGAAAATAGATCAAATATATTCATCTTTTGCTATTATATAAATAAAGTTTTGGGGTAGAGAATACCATTTTTGGACAAGTACTGAAAAATAATGGCTTTATTACTATTTTTATAAATATACACATGAACGCCTTCCTCCCAAATTTCAAATAGACTATACTGTGTTCATAGGCTATTATCAACATACACTAATGATATAATAATTAGGGATGGTGAAAGCAAACCTAAAATTACAACTCTGATCTATATTATTATTTATTATTCAATTATCATTGGTCAATAAGAACAAATCAATGAAAATAGTGCTAAAAAATTCTATTTTATAATGCTATTGAAATCTTCTAAATCATAAATATTTAGTTTTAATCTTAAAAAGATAAATATATTAGACTATCATAAAACAAAAACTTACAAACTTAATAAAATAAATAATATGCTAAATATAATTGTTTTAATTTATTAAATACTAACTTTATACTCCTGTTGAAGTTTTCTGTTTCTGTGCTCTAAAGCTACATATATGCCTAAATAAAAAAGTAAACAGTTATAAATTTCAAAAAAGCTTTTTGGTGACAGTTGAACCAAAGACTAGTTAACAGACTGAGCAGCAAAAGATAGCTACATGTATCAGAGAAGAGTAAACTTTTTCTGTAAAGGACCAGATACCAAATATTCTAGGTTTTGTGGGCCATTCAGTCTCTGTCTCAACTATTCAACTCCATCATTGTAGAGCAAAAGCTGCCATAGACAGTATACAAATGAACAAGTCTGGCTGTGATCTAATAAACTTTTATTTACCAAAAGAAGTGGCAGGCCAGATTTGGCCCTCAAGCTGTAGTTTGTGAATCCCTGACAGATGTCGTTAAGTCTCTGTACTAGTTACTATACTTTAACTACAAGCAACAGTGATTTTTGTCTGTTTTATTTACTAATGTATTCCAGAAACTTGAACAGTGCTTGGTACTTAGTAAGTACTCAATAAATATTTGTGAATGACTGAATGAATGTTTTATTACCTCACCAAATATTAAATCTGAAGGCAAGTGGCTCTAGATTTGTTTCAGCAGTTCAATAATGTAATTTAAGGACCAAAGGCTTCCCCATCTTTCCCTTCTTCTAATCTCATTGTGTTTCTAATACATACTCTCATGGTTACAAAATGGCTATAGCAGCTTTAACATATATCACTTTCTAAAATGACAAGGAACAGGAAGGAGGTTGTTTTCTTCTTGCCAGTCTCTCTTTTTATCAGGGAGAAAAAGCTTTCCCAGAGGCTCTACAACAGACTCTCCCTTATACTTCACTGGGTACAAGTGAGTCAGTTCATACTTAGACCAATTCCTGGCAAAAAGAAATGTGCACTGGTTTATAATCAAAGTTTTATCACCTGAGATTGTGGAAGAAGCTCATCTCCGCTGAGCACAATGCAACTGGAACAAAATCAGGGCTATATGAATTATGAAAGAAGGGAAAATAGCTCTTATGGAGGCAACAAATAATGTCTTTCATACCCTCAATAATAAAATAAAAATAATAACAATAAAAGGTAGTATTTTCTTAGTGCCAGGAAGTGCTGTATATATATTCACTCATTTAATTATCTTATCCAATTTTCATCCTCTGGCAAGTTATGAGGAGGAAATATGATATTAAAGAAAAAATGAGACAAAAACAAAATAAAAAACATGAACTGAGTTTAAAGGAATAAACTAAAAATGGGAAGGATGATAAAATGAATATCTTTTCACCTCTTCCTAAGTCTCATTTTATAAAATGACTTCATTATTTTCTATTTGTAATCAATTCCCAGAAAATACTCGCCTATACACAAATGTATTAAAAAGTTTCCAAAACCCAATAATGTGGAATTGCATACTATTGTATAATCCATGCCACTGCTAGCTTCCATTATTCAGACTTGACCATATTTAAGACATTTTCCTTAAAAATGATAAGCTCTTTTTGATTTTGCAGTCTTTAACAGCAATACTTAAAAGCAGGTTGTTGCCCTAAGGGCATAGAGTTCACTTTAAAACCTGATGACATTTCGAGTTACTAAAAGTGCCTTTTAATAAGCTCAGAATCCATTTTTCCCATTTCCTATTATACTAAGAATAAATACATTCATGAGCCATGACTGCAGTACTATTAAACAGGTAAAGGCAGATTTTTAAAAGACTGGTTTCAAAAGACCTGGACATAAAAGGAAGAGTATGGAGTCAAATATAGGAAACAACTAAATCATTAGCTCAATCATATAACACCGTATTATCTCCAATACATTAAAATACAAACTTAACTTACATACACTGGTGATTCAAAAATCTTAGCAATAGTCTTTAATAGGAAGATTTTTGAGAAAGAACAGTAAATCATAAAAAGTTAAAGTTAGAAAAACTTTCCCATGGGAAAAAACACAAATAAATGAGAAAAACTGAAAATCCAATTAAGAGATTTACATAGAAGAATGCAAACAAAGGAATGCCAAACTTAAAAAGAGCTTATGCTTTAAATGAATTTAAAACCAAAAAAAAATGTATTTCTTCATTTTTTGGTTTTGTTTTGTAAGGTGACAACAAAAGATATATCAGGTCTCAGTCCAGTTGCATGACCTTTAAAAGTTAAACTTGGGATAGAATAAAACGCTGAACATTTTTAGAAGAAAATGTAAGAGAAGATCTTTAGGACCACAGGCTGAGAGAGGATTTGTTATATACAAAGACCAACAACCATAAGAAAGAAGACTGATATATTCAACTACCTCAAAATTAAAAAAAAAAAGGAAAAGAAATTTCTGTTGATCAAACATATCACAACCTGGGAACAGATATCTGAAACATACCTATTGTCTAGCGCATTGAATGCGCCATTGGCACTCATTATTCATTCCCATCCCTTTCCATATCCCAGCATCTTTCATAATGGCTGAAAGTCTAAAACTATGTTTCCCGGATGTCCTTGCAGCTGGTGTGGTGGATGGAATTAAAGTTTCACCAGTGACGGGCACTTGAAGGGGATATAGAAGGCAGAAGTGAGCTGAGAACATTCTTCTATAGGTACGACAGATGGCAAGCAAAACTGATAGACGTGAGTGTCTCCTGAAGTGAGTACCTCACGCCCCACTTTCCAGTGTCAAGTTTTCAGCTCCATGGAAGTGATGCTGTAGTGGTAGCTACAGAGATGGTGGCAGCAGCATAAATTCCTGGCCTCAGAATCTCAGCCTCTAAGGTATGACTCTAAAACCAATTATCTTACCTACATAGTACTTAACTGTAAGTGACTAAATCCCTTCTTGTTTGAAGTGTCTATGATGGTTACTGTTTACACTGATCAGCACACTAACAAATATTCAGAATACAGATTATATAAAGTACTTTGACAATTTAAGGAAAAGATAAAGAGAAAATGGGAAAAAGAAATGAACAAGCGTTTCATGAGAAAACCACATGGGTAAATAAATACATGAAAAATGGTTAACCATATTGATATTCAGGAAAATGTAAGTTAAAACCACAATGAAATACCATTTAGGACTCAAAATAACAAAAATTAAGAAACCTGGTAAGAGCAAGTGCTGATAAAATATACAAATCAATAAGAACTCATAAATATCACTGGTGGGAATGTAAATTGGTATAGCCACTTTGGAAATTAGGTTAGCAATATATTGCAAAATTGAATATTCACATAGCCTATGACCCAACCCTGAAACTCTTCTGCTTATGCATGATATTGAGTGGAAAAAAAGTCTCAGAAGACTAAATAATACTATTTTTGGAAGTTTTTAAAAATGCAAAACTAAATAATATATCATTAGGAATACACATACCTACAAAAATTTTAAAAAGCAAGGGAACGATAAACAAAAATTCAAGGCAGTATTAACCGCTGGCAGAGGGAAGGAGGGGCATGGGATAGGGAAGGAAAACATGAATAAGTGCACCAGTATTGATAACATTTTAGCTCTTAACTGGATGGTGGGTTGACAGGTTTCCGTTTTATCAGTATGTTTCCTAGTATAATATATATTCTATACTATACTATTCATGATTGCTAATATTTATAAGGTGCTTATTATGTACCCTATTTTAAGCAATTACTTTATCCCTTACAGTCAGCTCTAAGAAATAGGTTCTGTTATTGTCTCCCACTTATAGATGAGGAAACCCTAAAGCACAGAGGTTAACTTGTCCAAGGTCATATAGCTAATAAGCAATGGAGCCAGGAGTCAAAAAGGAAATCAGGCCCCAGCGTCCACACTCATAACCAGTATACTCCATGAATAAAATACCAAATAACAATAATAAAAGTTACCTAAGACAACAATAAGATAATCAGTAGTTAATTGATCTACCTTTCATTTTCCTTGATGACATTTTCAAGTTGTAGTTTCATCTCACCCATCTGTTTCTGAAAGAATAAAATATGGTTGCAGAAAAACATTTTCCAGACAATTAGATTTATATTAAGTAGTTCATTCATATGCAAGCAATCGGATTCTATGACACTAGTCTACAGATAAGAAATAATTATTCTTCACTTCTAACAAGCAATATTAAATATAGATATTTTAATGATACAGAGTGTAATAGAACGTTTTGAATAGAATGTAAGTAAAAATATTTTATATAACATATTAATAAATATTTTAAAATGTAATTCCTATATTTAGAGATGTTTATAGGAAAAGAGATGTAAGATATTCCTTAATATTTCACTATAAGAAATATCCGATGATCCCTAGACCTTGAATATATATCGTAATTCATCTTAGTTTAGGTGAAGCCCATGTAAGTGCTTGAATTTCAAGAAGTAAAATGTTAATGGCGAAAAAAGCAAATAAAGATCTTCTTTAGCAATAATTCATTCAGTCTCTGATTGACCACCTTGTTTAGTTGTATAAACTCTCTGCCCTATACAAGGCTGCTACAGTAAACCAATGTGGTCACTAACACATACATTAGTAGGAAAGATGGTAAAAAAAAAAAAATCACTAACTAAAATACCAATACGAATAAAATATATACTGTAAAGGGAATGAAATGAAGGTATTTTTAATTTTCTCTGAGGGGTTAAAGGGATTGCAAGATTTCAACAGGAAAGAAATGGCATTTCAAGTAGGGTGAAATATGAGTAAAAGCAAAGAAGCAAAAAATATTAGACGACACAGGCATAGTCATCAGTTCTCAGTAAGAGTAAACGAGCAAGTGGAGATCAGGAAGGAGGCCATGTAAAATCATACTTAAAACAAAACTGCAATCAATTCATGATCTGTCCATTACTCTTGATTGGGTACCCCAGGCTAAAGGAGAAGAGCCAATCCTGGAGTGAACCTGGCAAGGGAAGGGTGGAACAGGCAATCCTCCAAGCCTTTCTCTCTCCCTTTCAACTAGAGAAGCTCAAGGAAGCTTCCCCTAGGAAAACAGTAACAGCCAATTATAACTACAAAGCCGGCTTGAAAGGTGAACCTTTCCCAGGTCCCTGCTGTGCCTGAATCACAATTAAATCAAAATGAATGAATTTACTACCAGATAACTGAGAACTGACCACACATGGAGCCATGCAATGAGAGGTAAAACAGGAAAGGCAGGTGGCAGGTCTTGCTTGAATGCCATGCAGACTAAGAGGTTTGGATTTTATTGTAGCAATTATCCCCATTTTGTAATTATTTTTAAAAAATCGATCTTTAAAAATTGCAAAAATGTCAGCGTATCTTGAAAAATATTATTCAAATAATTAGGTAGGATATATGCATTAACTAGGATTCAGGGTGGATCATGACAGTAACACTAAAGATTCTTTACTGTAAAATATTTCAAAACATTTAATCGTTGAAAGAAAACAAAAATTCAGCAGTACCTTTCTTATCATCAAATTTTCCCCTATTATTTACATTTCTGGAAGAAACTTTCATATAGAGAATTATTGTGAATATTTTCCTGCTTTCAAGATATACTATTTTTTGACTGGTCAATAAGATAAATCATAAGAGCTTTGCTACTCAATAATATCTATGTGAGCAAGTGTTTTTTGTTTTTGTTTTTGTTTTTTTTTGCAGTACACGGGCCTCTCACTGTTGTGGCCTCTCCCATTGCAATGCACAGGCTCCAGACGCGCAGGCTCAGCGGCCATGGCTCATGGGCCCAGCCGCTCCGCGGCATGTGGGATCTTCCCGGACCGGGGCACGAACCCGTGTCCCCTGCATCGGCAGGCGGACTCCCAACCACTGCGCCACCAGGGAAGCCCTGAGCAAGTGTTTTAAGAAGTAGCTGTCAACATCTTTTTTGTCTCTAAAAGTAGCAACTATTCTTGCCCCTTAGGCTTTCTGCTACAGCTTCCTCTCTCTTGAAGTTAATCCAGTAATCACTCTTAGATGGAGAATGCCAAATGGAAAAATGAAGTTAAACACCTTAGTAAACTAGCTGATTAAAGACATATATGAATCAGGTAAATTATAAAAAATTAAAATTTAAAACAGTTTAATTTCAAGATAACTAGATATTCCATTTTATAACAATCAAACCACATGTCATTATAGCAATTTTGAGAGAGTGAATTCAGCAGAAACTTTAGGCTCACTAGTCCTAAAAATAAAAGCAAAATACCATTTGTGCAAAAGAGAGCTTTCTGTTGTTCTTTATCAATTAAAAAATTTAAACAAACAACTCATACAGCTCAACAGCAAAAAAACAACCACCCAATCAGAAAATGGGGGGAAGATCTAAATAGACATTTCTCCAAAGACGACATACAGATGGCCAACAGGCACATGAAATGATGCTCAACATCATTAATTATTAGAGAAATGCAAATCAAAACCACAGTGAAGTATATCACCTCAGACTGGTCAGAATGGCCATCACCAAAAAGTCTACAAACAATACATACTGGAGAGGGTGTGGAGAAAAGGGAACCTTCCTACACTGTTGGTGGGAATGTAAACTGGAAAACAGTATTGAGGTTCCTTAAAAAACTAAGAGCAGAGTTACCATACAATCCAGCAATCCCACTCCTGGATATATATCCGGAAAAGACAAAAACTCTAATTCAAAAAGATACATGGACCCCAATGTTCAGAGCTGCACTATTTACAATAGCCAACAGTTGGAAGCAACCTAAGTGTCTATCAACACATGAATGGGTAAAAAAGATGTGGTGTACATATATACAATGGAATATTATTCAGCCATAAAGAATGAAATAATGCATTTGCAGCAACATGGATGGTCCTAGAGATTATCATACTAAGTAAGTCAGACAGAGAAAGACAAATATCATATGATATCATTTATATGTAGAATCTAAAAAAAAAAAATTATACTTAAAACAGAAACAGACTTACAGAAGTAGAAAACAAACTTATGGTTACCAAAGGGGAAAAGAGGGGGCAGGGATAAATTAAGAGTTTGGGATTAACAGATACACACTACTATATATAAAACAGATAAACAACAAGGACCTACTGTATAGCACAGGGAACTAGATTCAATATCTTGTACTAACCTATAATGGAAAAGAATCTGATAAAGAATACATATATATACACACACACACATAAATGTGTAAATGTGTATAGCTGAATCACTTTGCTGTACACCAGAAAATAACACGTAAATTGATTACAGGTAAACATTTTCTTCCTTATCAATGTTTTTGTAAAGAAAGGGAGTCTATTTTTTCTTTTTTTAATAAGAAAATATTACCAAATGGTTGATAGCTATGATTCCATACCTGATAATATTTCAGCTGCCCATTTAGCTCTTCCAGATGCTTATCATACTCAGTAATAAGAGGAACTAAAAAGCTAAAGAAAATTTCAAAGTTAAAAAGATACATATTCTTTTTAATCTAGTTTAATAAATATGTAACATGAAATAAATTAAACATCAAAAGTTTTATGTTAATTTTCTCCATAGCAATCAATACTTTGCCTTTTTCCTAAACCAGAGGTTCTCAACCTTAGCTCAATTAATATTTTAGGCTGAATAATTTTTTGTTGTTGGGGGCTGACCTGTGCACTGTAGGATGTTTAGTAGCATTCCTGGCCTCTACCCATTAGATGCCACTAGCACCCTTACCCTCCACAATTGTGACAAGCAAAAATGTTTCCAGACATTGTCAAATATCTGGGGAGGGAAGGGAAGCAAAAATCACTCAGTTGAGAACCACTATTATAGACAATAATACTGGCTTTTTTCCCCTTGTCAATTCAATGACAGATCATTTAAACCTAATTATAGCAGAATATAAAATAAACATTCCTAATACTAAAAAATTAACAATAATTAAACATAATTAAGAAAATAATATTTTTCTGGTAATTCAACCTTACCTTTGGTCAACTACTGAGTTTTCTACTGTGTCACCTGCAACTCCTTTGAAGACAGATTTCTGTAACAGAAAATACTGCATAGTAAAATTTTGTTTTCTCACATCTTTCTAGTCAAAACTGACAGTAGTTTAAAATTAAATACAAGTAAACATTTTATAACCTTAAATCTGTCACTGCAATTACAAAAGAGGGAAAGAGAAAAAAAAAGTTATACTAACTGATGCCGAAAATGTATTCAGTAAATTTTAACGCCCATACATAATAAAACTCTTGGCAAAATAGAAATAGGAAGAAATTTCTCGATTGATAAAGAACATCTACCAAAAACCTACATCAATTACTATTCTTCATAGTGGAACATCAGAAGCACTGCACGAAATTCAGTAATAATACAAGGCTGCTCACTATCACTGCTAAAACTCAGCATTGTACTAAAGGTTCCAATCAGTGGAATCTGCTGCAGGGACAGGGGGTTGGAGATCTAAAGGTTGAAAAGGAACATACAATACTATTCTGATCTACAGACAATTTGACCATTTACCTAGAAAACTCTCTCTATAATCTACCAATTATTAGGACTAAGAACAGAGTACACCAAGTCACCAGATAGAAGATCAAACATAAAAAAAACAGCTGCTTTCCCAAATACCAGCAATAATCAGAAAATGTGATAGGAAAAAATATGGTATTCACTACTATAAGAAAAGGTAGTACTTGAGAATAAAACAAAAAAAATGTTGCAATAACTTTAATAAAATATTAACTTTACTGAAGGACATAAAGGATCTAAATAAACAGGGTTCTATACCATATTCATATGTGGAACAGTCAGTATTATAAATGTATATATTTCTTAAAATTCACTGCAGGTACAATGCAATTCCAAAAAAGAAATCCAATAGAATAATTTATGAAACTTGATCTTAAACAGATGGTAAAGTTCCTATGTTTGAGTAAATGTGCAAGAATAGCCAAGATAATCTGGCCAAAAAAAAAAAAAAGAGGGGAGAACTTGCTCTACTACATGAGAAAACACTATAATGCTAGAGTAATTAAAAGAATATGGTTCAGACACAGTAACAAACAGAACAGTACAGAAAATTCAGAAATAGATTCAAGTATTTATGGGTATGCAGTATATAAAAGAAGTGGAATTATAACTATAATAAATGGACAAAGTACTGCTTTTCAACTAATAGTGTTGGGTAAAAAAATAAAATTAGATCCCAGCACACACTAAATGGAAAGTAAATTACAGATAGATTAAAGATCCAAGTGTTTTAAAAAGTTAATAACTATTGAAAGAAAATGTATTATTGACCTTGAGATACAGAAAGCTTTCTTAAGCTCTAAAAATGCAGAGACTATTGTCTGCTTTGTTCACCAATATTCCAAGCAGTGCCTGGCATACTCTCACTCAAAATACATTTTCTAGCCGAAAGACACAAGTAGTAAAATCTATAAACAGAAGAAATAACATATTTTACAATCCAAATTTAAAACTTCTATACAACTAATGACACCATAAGCAAGGTTAAGAGGACAGTATAATTTTAACATGACCAAAAAACACAGTAACTATTATAAAGTATGCAGAAACATTCAAAACACAAGGAGATGTATAAGAACTTTCAGTGGAGCTTTTACTGTAATTAAAAAAAAATAGGATAAATGAAAAATAATACAATAGGATCTCATAAGTAGGTCAAGGGATTAGCAAGACATATGTATCAACATGGATATATCACCAAAAAAGGGGTTACCTTCTAGGAGTAGAAGGAAGGGAATGGGACAGAGGGAAGGACAGACAGATTCAAAGGGATTTTTTAAAAAAATGATGTACAGTTGACTTATTGTGTAAGTACTGTGCACAGTACTGAGTTAGGTGTATAGCAAAGTGATTCAGTTATTTCATTTCAGATTACTTTTCATTATAGGTTATTACAAGATACTGAATAGAGTTCCCAGCGCTATACAGTACATTCTTGTTCCTTATGTATTTTACAAATAGTAGTTTGTACCTGTTAATCCCAAATTCTTAGTTCTTCCCTCCCCCTCCTTATCTCCCCTTTGGTAACAATAAGTTTGTTTTCTATGTTTGAGAGTTCGTGTCTGTATATAAATTCATTTGTATTACTTTTTAGATTCCACATATAAGTGATATCATATGATACATGCCTGACTTACTTCACTAAAGTATGATATTCTATAGGTCCATCCATGTTGCTGCAAATAGCAATATTTCATTTTTTTTATGAGTGAGTTAATATTCCACTGTATATTTATACTACATATTCTTAGACCAATCATCTGTTAATGGGCCCTTGGGTTGTTTCCATGTCTTGGCTATCGTAAATAGTGCTGCTATGAACATAGGGGTGCATGTATCTTTTTGAAATAGAGTTTTCATCTTTTCTGGATATATACCAAGGAATGGGATTGCTGCAGCAGATGGTAACTCTATTTTTAGATTTTTAAGGAAACGCCATACTGTTTTCCATAGTGGCTACACCAATTTACCTTCCCACCAATAGTGTAGGAGGGTTCCCTTTTCTCCACACCCTCTCCAGCATTTATTATTTGTACAGTTTTTGATGATGCCCATTCTGACCAGTGTGAGGTGACATCTCTTTGTGGTTTTGAGTTGCATCTTTCTGATAATAAGTGATGGTGAGTATTTTTTCATGAGCCTGTTGGCCACATGTAGGTCTTCTTAGGAGAAATGTCTGTGGCCAGTTTTTGATTGGGTTATTTGTTTTTTTGTTATTGAGTTGTATGAGCTGCTTGTATATTATGGAAATTAAGCCCTTGTCAGTCGCATCATTTGCCAATATTTTCTCCCAGTTGGTATGTTGTCTTTTCATTTTGTTTATGGTTTCCTTTGCTGTGTAAAAGCTTGTAAGTTTTATTAGGTGCCATTCATTTATCTTAGCTTTTATTTCTTTTACATTGGCAGAATGATCTAAGAAAATATTGCTATCAGTTATGTCTAAGAATGCTCTGCCTATGTTCTCTTCTACGAGTTTTATGGTGTCATGTCTTAAATTTAGGTCTTTAAACCATTTTTGTATATGGTATGAGGCAGTGTACCAATTTCAGTGACTTACATGCAGATGTCCAGCTTTCTCAACACCATTTGCTAAAGAGACTGTCATTACTCCATTGTACACTCCTGCCTCCTTTGTCAGAGGTTAACTGACCATAGGTGTGTGAGTTAAATTCTGTGCTCTCTATTCTAAAGATCCGTTGATCTAAATATCTTTTTGTGCAAATACCACAATGTTTTGATTACTATAACTATGTAATATAGTCTGAAGTCTGGAAGGGTTATGCCTCCAGCTTTATTCTTTTTCCTCAGGATTGCTGTGGCAGTTCTGGGTCTTTTGTGGTTCCATATATATTTTACAATTATTTGTTCTAGTTTGGTGAAAAATGTCATGGATATTTTGATAGGGATCACATTACATCTGTAGATTGCTTTGGGTAGTATGGCCATTTTAACAATATTAATTCTTCCAATCCAAGAGCATGAGATATCTTTCCCTTTCTTTGAATTACCCTCAATTTCCTTTATCAATGTTATATAGTTTTCAGCTCCTTGGTTAAGTTTACTCCTAGGTATCAATACTTTTTTCTTTTTGATGTGATTTTAAATGGGGTTGTTTTTTCACTTTCTCTGATATTTTATTGTTAGTGTAAAGAAAAGCAACAGATTTCCGTATATTAATCTTGTAGCCTGCTACTTCGCTGAATTCATTTATTAGTACCGAATAGGTTTTACGTGGAGACTTTAGGGTACTCAAAATAGAGTATCATATCATCTGCAAATAGTGACGTTTTAAGTTCTGCCCTTCCAGTTTGGATAAAATTTATTTATTTTTCTTGTCTGATTGCTGTGGCTAGGATTTGCAATACTATGTAGAATAACAGTGGTGAGAATGGGCATCTTGTCTTAAATCTGAATTTATTGGGAAGGCTTTCAGCTTTTCACTACTGAATATTATGTTGGCTGTGGGTTTGTCATAAGCAACTTTTATTATGTTGAGATATGTTCCCTCTAAATCCACTTTGGTGAGTTTTTATCATGAATGGATATTGAATTTTGTCAAATTTTTCTGCATCTATTGAAATTATCATGTGGTTTTTGCCTTTGCTTTCATTAATATGGTGTATAATATTGATTGATTTGTGTATTGAACCATCCTTGTGACCCTGGAATGAATCCAACTTCATCATGGAATGCTCCTTTTTATGTATTGTTGGATCCAGTTTGCTAATGTTTCGTTGACAATTTTTGCATTTATATTTGTCAAAGATATTCGCCTGTAATTCTCTTTTCTGCAGTGTCTCTGTCTGGTTTTGTTACTAGGGTGATGGTGGCTTCATAGAATGACTTTGAGACTGTTCTCTCCTCTTCAATCTTTCGGAATAGTTTGAAAAGGATACATTTAAGTTCTTCTTTGTATGTTAGGGAGAATTCCCCAGTGAAGCCATCCAGTCCTGGACTTTTGTTTGAAGAGGTTCTTAGGTCTGTCTACCAAGACAACAGAAATAAAAGCAAACACAAACAAATGGGACCTAATCAAACTTAAAAGCTTTTGCACAACAAAAGAAATCACCAACAAAATAAAGACAATCTACGGACTGGAAGAAAATATTTGCAATGATTCAACTGACAAGGGTGTGCGTGTGTTAATCTCCAATCCCTAAATTATCCCTCCCCATTCCTGTCCCCTTTGGTAACTTTCAGTTTATTTTCTATGTATGTGAGTCGGTTTCTGTTTGGTAAATGACTTCCTTTATATCACTTTTTTAGATTCCATATATAAGTGATATGATATCTGTCTTTGTCTGACTTACTTCACTAAAGTATGATATCTCTAGGTCCATGCATGCTGCTGCAAATGGCATTATTTCATTCTTTTTATGGCTGAGTATTATCACATTTTATGTATATGTGTGTGTGTATATATATATACCACATTTTCTTTATCCATTTCTCTGTCAATGGACATTCAGGTTGCTTCCATGGCTATTGTACATGCTGTGGCTATGAACA